ATGTGGAATGTGCTGTAACATGTATCCTAATTTTGTTGTTTTTTACTTATGTATACGTCTCATGGAGTTGAGTGGAGGTTATCCCAAAATAATTGAACATAGGTTTTGCAGCCAAACTCATTCTGCAACCTATTGCAGTGTCAAACAAAGCTTCCTTTCCCATTTCAGCACCTTATTCACAGGTTTTTCTTCTGTTATTTGTCTTTGGTTTGTTCTGCCTTCAGTTCTTTTGTCTTTTGCATGTAGGTGCTTCAGCAGCATTCTATTCTTCTTCTGTTCAATAGCATCTTCATTTTATGTTGCTATAATAAATTAGTGCATGCAGTTTCACAAAAGTGGTTGAGAAATGCAAAGGAACATTGTACACCAGTGTTTTGAGCTTGTCGGGGGGGGGGGACCTACTTTGTGCAAAAGAACTGGCAAGGTTATGGATGCTGCCTGTCAAAGGCCATTACTTGGCGCTAAGACCCAGTCAAACACTCCAACTGACTGATGAGTGGGCACCAGGCCATCAAAGCAGATGGACATGAGTGTGCAGAGCCAACAGACAATGTATGTGCATCAAGTGTAAATGTTGATGGCAGGTTTCCCAGCCAGTGTCTAAGCTTATGCATCTGTAGTTACAGAAATGCCAGGCTTGTTCTGGATTAAATTTTCAAACAATTAAAAGGAATGCAGGCAGGGGAGGAAATGTTTTTTAAAGCAGGCCTGGGTAGAAAAGTGAAAATAGAGACGGTTTAATGTTGGGGATCTCATCTGCTAAATTCTCTCAGAGACACTTCCGCAGGTTGAGCCACAACCAAAATTACTATTGACTGGATATTATTCAATCAATAGTAAATTGACTGAATAATTGACTGAGCCTAGTCTTAAAATCTTTTTAAGCTTCCTGCTGAGCTGTGTTGATATGCCAAATCCCTAGTACAGAAGCTCATTGGGTCTGATGGCCTCATCTTCATAGCACAGTGAAGATTTTTCTGGTTGGCTTTTGCAGACTGTTGGCTTTAAAGTATTTTTCAATGCAGAGCCCTTTTAATGATAGACATTCACATTTTGCAAAACCACAGGTAGACTTTCTCTCCATTGTCATGGGGGATGGAATGCAGGATTCATTTCAAACATGTTATTTTCAAACGGGTTGGCTTCCTCTCCTATCAGGGTTGCCAGCCCAGGCTTTGAAACTGTTTCTTTAAAAGCAGTGAACCCTAAAAAGTAATATCTAGAAAGAAAACTGCCTAGCCAATTCCTATTGTTTACAGAAATTGTGGCGTACAAAGTAAACATTTTACTTTGGACTGAGAATGTTAAAAACTAGTTTTCTCTTTATGAGGGCTATCTTGTTCCTATGGATCTTTTTAAAGCACAGTAGTGCGGCATAAGACTGGCATACTCAATACTTTATATTTGCACAATCTCTTTTTAATGAATAATTAACTTATATTTCTGTCCTTTGCAGAAATAACGTAAGAGCTGCATTGCTGGCTCATATAGTCGAACATTGTCTCTCTCAGTTGACAGTCTAAGTCCTAATTTCATTCATTCATTCATTCATGTATCATTTCTATATGTTCAGCTCTTCAAACTACTTCCTAGTTTCCCAATTCATTATTGCAATTACTTTTATACCCTCTTCCCTTTTCATTCCACCATCTACACTTGCATCATTTCCTCCCAGTGTTGCTCATGCCATTTATAATCTGTGGCATACCTTTGCTTTTATTTTATAATAACCTCACATCTCATACCAAGTGAGTTGGAAGCAGGGTCCTAGAAAACACAAGAGAAGACTGAGCTGGTGATGGCAAAGGCAGGAATGTTCAATGAGCTGGTGACTTGGAGGCAAACAGACGGATCATCAGGCAGTATAACAGCTGGGTGGGAGCCTGTTGACTCCTCCTGTCACCTGATCCTTGCTGGGCTGACAGCTATGATCTGCCAAGGTGGCTCAGGGATAACTATCTTCCAGAGCTGCCAGAGTCACTAGTTTGAGACTTCTGGTCCCTTAACAAATAAACAGGAAATGAGAGAGAGAGGGGGGGGATGAGCCTAAGGAAGGGAACAGCAGCAAGCCGAATCCTGCAAAAGATTCCATGAACACTACAGAGGTTCAAGCAGTCTTTTGTAAATCTTGCTAGTCATATTATATCTCATCATGCTGAATGCTGGCAAGCCTGCTGAATCCCTGCCTTACTTTCCCAAAGTTCAGGACCCTCTGCAGTCTCTCTAGTCTTGAGACTTCAAAGCTTACTTTCAACCTCTCCTTTCTGAGACAGTTTCTCATTTCATTTGGAAAATGACAGTGTTGGGTTTTCTCAACCACTGTCCGCATGTGTGCATGATGAACTTGATAGTATTGTGGTTACTCCCCTCCCCCCCCCCCCCGTTGGTGCTGTAGCTCTTGTATCATTCCCTGCCTTGCGCTCTTGAGCATTTGGCTTGAGAATTCTGTTTATGAGGATCCAACACAGTAGCTGAGCTATAGTGATTAAAACAGTAAAAAGATACGGGACAAAAATAGGTATGTCTTGTATTATAGCAATCACTTCTCATGCAGTGATACAATACTGCAACCATCATTACATGTTTTCTTCAAGACTGAAGGGATTTGTAAGTGTTTGCCGTACTTCTAAGAAAACAACTTGTTGGGGTACCTAAAGCGCTCCTGCCTAATGTTGCTAACTTTCACTTAAGCATAATGGTCCTAGCCTGAGCATTTAAAAAATACAGACACAAAGAGTATTTGATGGAGACATTGTTGATATAATTGCAGTTATCTCATGATAACTTGGGTGTGCAAAAGCTATTATCCATTATGACACAATCAGTCACTGATGGATTGTTGCTTTGTATTAAACAATTTGCCCAAGAACAAGAGCCATACTAGGGGACAATAAGCTTTTTAGAGCTAGGCTATTACCTATTGCATGATGAGTATCACACAATCCAAATATCTTTAATAACCATGGCAGCCTGTGTTTTCTGTTCCATAGTAGAACTCTGCTCCTATTTTTGCCTTTAGAAATGTTAGCTATTGTTTACACATGTGCATGACAATTATTCACATTTCAGCTATCTCACACCCATTCAGGTGTGTCAGAGATGTTTGAATTCTAGCACATGGGCCTAAGAATGAATATCCATTGAACTGCTTCCTTTTCATCCTCTCCTTCATAAGAACATAACAGTCCTGCTGGATCACACAGAAATAGGATCTTGGCCTTACGCCATGCCATTTTCCTCTGTGAAGCTATAGCTAATAAAATGTTACAGTCATCATACGTTCTGGGTTGGTGACCCTGCTTCAACTATGCTCTTCTGGTTACAGCTATATGTGCAATTGATGAAAATGCCATGCTTTTGTGTAACATGGGGCCACCATGTCCTGCCATGATGGGAATGGGTTTTGGAATCAGGCATTATCCCCTATTTCCTCTGATGTCTATACACTGAGGAGATTTGAAGCTTTTGCTTTGTTTTTTGATTAGCTACACTTTAATAACAGTTTGAGGTCTGGATATAATTCTAATCTTAACTATGGTTTGTTGAACAAGCCTGCTACATGTTTTGAAGTTGGCTTGTTTCAACAAACTATAGTTAAGATTAACCACAATTTGTTTGGTTCAAACAAAATAGCAAACTATGGTGAATCAAAAACTGTGACCAAATTGGAACAAAATGATTTTCATTGAATTGTAGAACAAGAACTACTATTCTTATCAAAACACAATGGATTGGGTTCAGACTTGCCTGAGATCCAATGGAAACTTCCACTGCAGGAAGAGGGAGGTTATCTTTACAAATACCAACTTTCTCCTATAGCCTACAGCTTCAACCCCCACCCCACCCCCGTTGTTCCAAGTTTGGAGACTTCTGGAGCCGCATTTTAGTGGTGAGGAGGCACAGGCAGAATGCAAAATAACTTTCCCCTTCCTCCACAATGAAGCTCCTATGCTGGTCTGGATCCAGTTAATCCGCCCACACACAAACACACTTTTATGCAAAGATTGCATTTGAAATATAACATATGGTACACACAGCAATTTATTATTATGAAAAAGGATGTCAAAATATGGAAGGTGGTCAAAAACAAAAGCACTGTAATGACCACAGAAATATGAGCTATCAAACTAATAAAAAGAATTTAATGATGACAGTGTGTAAAATTAAACTAAATGGAATATAATAGCATTGAATAACTAAAACACAGCCACAGTGTTTAACATGGATAGAACAACAAAGAACATTTACTAAATAACAAAATGAGGATGCATAGCCTTATGGCTGTGTTTATAGTAGCTTGGAAAACAATTTTCCACATAAGTGATATAATGGGCCTGCATAATCAATTTAATTATTGTGAAAATGAGGCACATTAGCATAAAGCCCCCCCCTTAATTTAGTCTTGTAGAAATATCAGAGGTTGTTTTGGAATTTTTGTTTGTTTGTTTTGGCAAAGACTGTAGCAAAGAAATAAAAAGGGGTGCATAAAAGGTTGGTCCATGAATGTAGATGCAATGGAGAGAAGGAGGGTTACAAGGAGTAACAGAAAGCTGTGCTAAATATGGAAGTCCTGCCCCTGTCCTCCTTACACTGTTAGAAACTCTCCGTTGACCTAGTTTATGAATTTCTACACCTGTATCAGGCAGTTTTAGAATTTCAAATATTCATCTGCAGCGATGGCACTTAGAAATATAGAACTTCTTTTTCATAAATACTGAGATCCTTAGCTTTATATTACACTAAAGTCTTGCCACAAGCTGCAGTTCTATGTAACATGACATATTAATACCCCTACAAGTTTTATAAAACCAGCAGCTATAACTAGTTTGTTCCAAGTAGAATGGAAATATTTTCTTTTATGAATGAAACTCCACATAGCTTTAATGCATCGACAATACTAGGGTGTTGTTGTCATTTGAGATTTGTAGTTTAAGCTTAATTTAAACACTGCTGATTTTGGGATTCATGATGCATTATTCCTTTTTCCCTTTTTTTTACAGTACGCTGTCTGGTTAGTCCTCTGGGTTACATGGAATGTATTTGTTATCTGCTTCTACTTGGAGGCTGGGGACCTATCAAAGGTAATTTGCCATCTGATATATCTAAGCCAACTGATGTTAACACCCTCCGAATTCTGAGGATGTTGCTTTGTATCTATTTAAACTCCTTCCATTTTTTTTTAATGAAGAAATCACCTTGGGAACAATGAATAAATTGCATGCCTTTTGCTGTGCATGTCCTAAATTGTTGCAGAAATCATGTAGGTCTACAAGCTACTTACGTGATTTTGTGCAATTTAGAGTGTGTGTGTGTGTGTGTGTGTTTGTGTGTGACTTCTGATGTGAGAAATTTCATAGATCTCATACTTTCATTTAATGAGAACTTCATATCTGTAGTTATCAAAGCTGATAGTTAATCAAAGGATAAATACATTTTTATTATGTAGCTTACTGCTTTCTGGTTCCTTTATAGAGTTGTGAACCTAATGTGAAAACATAAAATAGTTTTGCGAGAACTGAGGCATGATAGTGAGCCAAAGCATTGGAGTGTTACGTTCTCTATTCCTTGACCCCTTGTTAAGATTATTGTGATGGGCTGATTAGTCTGTGATATAAAGGATATTTAAAGGAGTGAAAGTTTTGGTTGTATCTTATATTGTATGTGATTTCAGTGGACTTCCTTTCCCAAATGTAGAAGACACCTGTGGCTGAGCAAGAAGTACTGTTTCCCAATAGTGCTCTTCTGCCTTGAGTTTTATTAGAGAACATAAACACCTGCCTCCTTAAGTATATATTCTACTGCATCTCAGTTTACTTGATGCTCCATCATTTCCACGCTTTAGGAAAATAAGTCATGATCTGGCTTGTGTAGTCTGAACCCATGGCTTCTTCCTCTCCAAACAAGCCAGTAGCAAAAGTTAAGGTTTGTTCTTAGCTACAGAAAACAATGGGATCTAAATCTGAATGCTGGTGGCTTACTGCATTTTGTTACCATTATCACAAAAGTAATGTAAAGTTAGTGCATATGTTTCTTTCCTGGAAGTAGAGACATCTGAGGACATTGATCTTTGCAAATTCCAGTATAAGACAACCTGATCCACATGTCCTGGACTAATTTCAAGATTGGTTTAACAATCAAACCCTCTTCCCAAGGAACTCTGGGAATTGTCGCTCTGCGAGGGGATAGGTGTCTCCTGACAACCCTCAATGCCCTTAGCAAACTACAGTTCCCAAGATTCTTTGGAGGAAGCTATAGCTGTTTAAAATGGTGTGATATTGCCATAAATGTAAAGTGCAGATGGGGCCTAGGTTGTTGAGTTAAATAGCTTCTCCTTTGTCACATATCTTTACATATTTCTGAAACTCCCTGGTAACAGCTGTATCACTGGATGCTGACCTATTCCTGATGTCCTCAATCACCAATCCATCACAGGCCTGCAGAGATTAGAATGTTAATATAAAATGTCAGTACAATATAAGATGGTGATAGAAATAATCTAAAAATGTAGAAAATGATTTGACCTAGCTGTAAACCAGCAACCATCTTGGCTATGAAACTCTAGTATGCATGTTGCAGAAAATATTCAGGCTAGTAATGAGGTAAACTGTGAATTTCATCTAGAAGAGCATCTGTTAGATTGTCTCATAGATATCTCATTGAATTCTTTGCATTACTTGAATTTGCAGCTGAGAATAAATATGACATCAAATGTGTAATGGCACTCCTGAGCATTTCCTCCTGCTGGGAAAGGAAGATTGAATCTTTAAAAAAGAAAGATATTGCACTGAATTAGCTCTAAATAGAGAATAAAAAGTAACCTTTAGGGAAGCATAGGGCTAAGCATTATCTTACACGAGGGACATGGCTGAGGTTGTAAACCATGAGAGATAATCTTGCACAAGATGGTTTTAGGAATTGCTAAGTAAAAATTACAGTCTAATAATTGCCCAGCTGGGTATACTTTGTTGTATATGGGTATGATTTATGGCTCTCTGCCACATAAAATATTTGTGGGGGTGGGGAGAGGTATGTTTTGAGGCTTACTTCTCTTGCCTATGTACGACTAGTTTTCTGTCATTACTCAGTAATATCAAGATACCAACAACACATTTCAAGCTACTGGCATATCTTCTGTGGAGAAGTTTACTAATGGCTGCTTCCTTCGCCCCCCTTCCCCTTGTCACAGAGGTCATGTCATTTTTTACAGCTGCTCTTTATTGAAGTGAAAAGAGCCCTGATAACAATAATGGGCTATTCAGAACGATGAGATTACCACCTCCTCATAAGATTGAAGCAGTTAAAGAACTGCCAGTGAGGAGCCTAGCAGAGCTGTTCACATCACATTATAGCCTGGGACAGATACATAGTTTGAAGTTTGGCAGTGGACTCAGAACACTTCATGTCATTGTGTCACTGTTAATGTCTTACCTATGACAGCATGGCTTTCACAGCCTGTCAAAATTATTATGATCATGTAGCCTGGTGACAAAAAGAAGGACAAAAGATATGTTTTAGAAAGCTGCTCTATACACATAAAATTTGCTGTCAGGAATTCGTATCACCCAGAGCATATCCTGTTACACAAGTACTGTTAAGTCACTAGTCACCATGTTGCCACCACCTCAGTCATATATCTGCCTTACTTAGTAGAAACAAACTAATTTACTATTTTTTAAATGTTATTTTTTAAGACAGAATTTATTTCTAGTTCACAAACTGGATTCAATAGAGGTGCATCTGGTGCCCTTACTTCAAAGAATTACAGGTTGGTGAGGAGGACTCCCTGGTCCTGAATGGGGTAACTGTGCCCCTGAAGGACCAGGTGCGCAGCCTGGGAGTCATTTTGGACTCACAGCTGTCCATGGAGGCGCAGGTCAATTCTGTATCCAGGGCAGCTGTCTACCAGCTCCACCTGCTACGCAGGCTGAGACCCTACCTGCCCGTGGACTGTCTTGCCAGAGTGGTGCATGCTCTAGTTATCTCCTGCTTGGACTACTGCAATGCGCTCTATGTGGAGCTACCTTTGAAGGTAACCCAGAAACTACAACTAATCCAGAATGCAGCAGCTAGACTGGTGACTGTGGGCGGGCCGCCAAGACCACATAACACCAGTCTTGAAAGACCTACATTGGCTCCCAGTACGTTTCCGACCACAATTCAAAGTGTTGGTGTTGACCTTTAAAGTCCTAAATGCCCTCGGCCCAGTATACCTGAAGGAGCGTCTCCACCCCCATCGTTCTGCCCAGTAGCTGAGGTCTAGCGCCGAGGGCCTTCTGGTGGTTCCCTCATTGCGAGAAGCAAAGCTACAGGGAACCAGGCAGAGGGCCTTTTCGGTAGTGGCGCCCACCCTGTGGAATGCCCACCCATCAGGTGTCAAAGAGATAAACAACTACCTGACATTCAGAAGACATCTTAAGGCAGCCCTGTTCAGGGAAGTTTTTAATGTGTGACATCTTAGTCTATTTTTGGTCTTTGTGGAAGCCGCCCAGAGTGGCTGGGGAAACCAAGCCAGATGGGTGGGGTACAAATAAATAATAATAATAATAATAATAATAATAATAATAATAATAATAGTGCAGAAGTTTCTAGTTCAATTGGTCAGAGAAAGCCCAAGCAACCAGATGGGATTTTGCTACATGAATTCTGCACCAGCTGCAGCTTCCAGACCATTCTCATGGTAGCCCTTCATAGAGTTCAGTAATTCAAATAGAACATCAGCAATGAATTAATTTTATTGTTTAAAAGTTTTGATATCAGTTCCTTGATGTCAGCGCCCTACACATGTAGGTTTTACCTTTTCACACATGTTCAACTCATGGACATCAAGGGGAGGCTATTGGGATGGGGCTACCTAGATCTGCCCAGCTCATATGTTGATTTTAACATGAGAGCTAGCTTCTGAAAAGGACTTTATTCCTAGACTGCTTTACAGACTGCTTTCAACACCAGGTGATTTTGAGCTCAGCCTAGAAAGAAACTGGTAGCCAGTGAAGGCGACTTAATGCATACATAATATGCTCTGGTTTGCAAACACCATCCTCCCTCCCACTCCAGATAGCAGTCATGCAAACACAGGCTGAACTAGGTGAAGCTTCCTAACTAGCTTCAAAGGTATAGTTTGGATTTAAAGATATTAGCTTCTTTCAACGATATTTTACATTGCCTTAATTTTATTGTACATATTTATCTCTCACTGTCCCTGTGCTAAAGATATGTAGGCAGAACGATTGTCTGAAGCACTAGTAGCAAGTCACTGAGGATAAACTGTCGCACATTAAAATAAACAATTACTCCAAAGAGACAAATAATTGGAGATACTAAATATCAAGGCACAGATTATAGTAGCAGAGAATGCTTACATTTGTTGAAAAGGGAGTTATAAACGGAGACATTCCCTTTGCTTGTTTCCCCTTTCTAAATCTTTTTGAATAGGTTTGGGGAGAGCTGTGCTTTCTGCTTGAGAGAGTATTGAAACTGAACATGGGAAACCCAACCAACTATGAACATATTAGATGGTAGTGGGCAAACTGCATTGCGACCTGATAGCTGGATAAAGAAGACACATGGGGTGGGTTGAACTAGGACTGCTTTATTTAAGATTAAAACCCATTTAAAAAAAAACCCAGTTGGGGAAACACTATTGGTGCAGGAGCAAGCATGAATCTGAAATAAATTGCAGCCTTTAGGGCAACCAAAAGCCCTCCCTGTAGGACCTGGATGCAGAGCTGTCCAGCCTGCCTCCCATTCCCAAGACCCACCATGAAGGTGAGTAGAAAGGCCTGTGCTGTTCCACCCCACACACCCTGAGGACCCATAGCTTTGGTTCAATAAAGCAGTTTAGCCTCAAGGGCAGCCCCAGAGCCTGGAGAGTAAGCCTCAGGATGAGCCCATCACCCAGAAAGGTGCATGCTCCCCTTCTCTCACCTGAACCACCAGAGGTAATGGGATTAAAAAGCAGTCTAACCTAATTAACAACATAGGAGTCCTTCTAGTGCCCACCACCCAGTCAGTAGGGCAGGGATTTTCAACCAGTGTGCGGTCGCACCCTGGGGTGTCTTGAACGATGGACAGGGGTGCTGTG